TCGAAATAATTCCAAAGTTTCCATGAGATTTTTTACAGGTTCTCATTTAGAACTTAGTGAGTACTATGCTATTTTAGCCATGTATTTTTGCTGAGCAATATTCAAGGGTGAACATTAACATTTTCGTTTCAATCTATTTTCTAGCTTTCTTCGATGAAGTTCGTCGAAAAATTTTGAAAAGGTAGAGTTGGATAAGATTTTTTCTATCCTATGATGGAGTTTCTGAAAAATCTCCAGATTCTCCCTAAATAAATCAAATGCATTTGTAAGCCTATAAATGGGGAAGTTAGTTTCTCACAATAGGGGTCTAACTTAACTGTAAGAAATTCAAGAACAAGGTTATAATTTAAAAACTAGAAAAAAATATACTGGCAACGTAACACGCAGGCCATATTGGACAGGGTCTTAAGCCCAATTTTAAATTCAACTTAACACCTCTTCATCCACGTAATAACGAAATTCACTTATTCTCCAACCCCCCAATATCATATCAAGATATAAAAAAGGGAGCGATTTGGACATAGACTAAAGCTTTGGAGTAACTTGAGGAGTACCGTAGTTGGCACAGCCAAGCCGGTACAGTAATTGCGTACTTTCACAGTAAAACCTGCATGCGACAAGAAAAAAATCAGTTTGCAAAATAGTAATATTACTATTATTAGTCGATTTCTAGCTTGATATCATCAATTTAGGAGTTAAAACAAAAAGGTGCTGCTGTATAGGATAGGTTGAATGTTCACAGGAGGAGCAAGTTGTAATGGCTAATGAATCAGGACAAGACCATAGAAGCTAGTAACCGTACCGAAAACTAGAGCACAAGGAGTTGTTAAACAAATTGCATTGGATGAGAATTCGAAAGAGAGCGCTAGGAAGATGAGATGCGTACGAGGAGATAAAGGACAAATGCGTGCTGCATGCAAGCGTAGTGTGGGAGTGGAAATAAAAAGACAGCTTACGTGAGTAACCTGGACAAGGAAGTGAGTGAGGTATGATTGTAGATGTACTTTTAGATGAAAGGAGGTAGTTACAGGGGAAAGAAGAACTGAAATGACAACGTGGAAATTTGAACCATAGAGATATAAGAGGACAAAATCAACGCAATTCCATAAATAATTTGATGAAAGGGTGGATTCCATAAACGGAAAGAAAAAATCGACCTTCAAACGAGGTCATAACTTTTGAGTGCTAGTACTAGGATTGCAGAAATGCCTCAAAGGCATAATTATTAGGTAAAGTGCTCGAGTAGAATGCAAAGACAAAAAAGTAACGAGAAGATGTCTAACAAATGAGGACAAGGATCGATAAACAACTTAACAAAAAAGTCAACAACTGTCGAGGCAAAATAAGCCTCCATTAACATGGTTTAATGAAAGCAAGGAACAGTCATATTGACTAAACTTCCTATTTGGAGAGCTTTTTTATTTTAATTAAAGTAGCATTCATAAAAAATATATTTTGAGGTACTTTAAGTTTGGGAATCATGGAAAAAAATACATTAATGCACCTTAATGAGCATTCAAAATGATACAAATGACCACAACCGAATGAGAGCATACATCACTCGAAAATGTCGAAGACTTGTCAGCTTAGAATAACAAATAGGGGCTTAAACAAATTCCTGATTGCCGAGCTAAATAAGCTATCAAATAAATATGGGTAGTAACAACCTCCCAAAATCAAATAATAAAAACACAAAGATGCAAATACATAGACGAATATTTACGACCCCTCGATTACCTTTAGCCGGAGTTATAACTCCAACTGCGCTTGTGTGAGTAGTAATGGCTTTCGATGTCTCAACTGAGGTAGGAGGATTTGTACGAATAAGTAGGAATTGAGTAGTCCCCGTTGGAATTTGAGCTAACACCGTGTTGGTCTGCTGCTTCTGCTGTTGAAGAGCCGCCGCAACAGCCAACGGGAGTAGAAGAAGTGATCCACCACAATTCGTACACCCGACATTTGATTGGTTATTGATGGGAACAAGGACAGTTGGTTTAGAAGAGGGTGCATCAGTAGTAGTCGTTGTTGAAACAGGCCGAGAAGTGTTGGGCAGAATGAAACGAGGTTGAGGTTTTTGGGAAGTCGCGTCTGTCTCCTTTCCAGAGCGCCAATTCCATGTTTGAGGTGAGCAATACTGGACAGTTGACTGAGTTGATGTTTCTTCGCTTTTGCTTTGAAATAACTGCGTTGACTGAAGTGGCTAAAATTACCAGACATTAAGCACCATTGCTACTGAGTATACATAAGTAGTGAAAATTGTTAAAAATGTTAACCCAAAAACAAAGGAGAAACAATTAAGAAAGATTCGAATTCGGTTTATTGAACTAACACCTCTCAATAAATCAAACAATCAAAATCGAATCAAAGAAAGATGCCATCCCATTCCTCAAGACACTACGTTTAGAGAAACAATAGAATATTCCACTGTGTCTCTAAATAAACAAAAGCCTAACCTCATCACTAAAATATAAACATGCAGTTCGAATAGGAGAAAAAGCCAACAAAATGGATAAAGAATTAAACTGTAATCTGCCTCATAAATATTAAATTTTAAACTAAAACGAAATTCAAAATAGTGCATAAACAAATGCGTATTCAGAAATAAATCAACGAACAAATCAAGATTAGCTGCCAACTTACTTTACAACTAAGGGAAGGTGAAACTTCAGGACTTTGAGTTGACATAACCGATTGAACAGTTGTAATCACCGGAGATCCGAAGTTTATTTGCTCAAAAAAAGAGGGCAACTTATCCATTGTTGAGCTCTGTGGCATTGGATAAAGATGATTCTCCATGGAAGGAGGTTCCCTTGAATGGAATTTCATAATCTGATCAACAGCAGGAAGCTTAGTAGGTTTAGTCGGTTCTTCATCTTTTATTAAAGGAATTGGAGGAGATGGATTCGATAACCAGAAGGAATTTGATGAGTCAACCGGAGGCTTTTCGTCAGAAAATGTAGAGCGTTCACTCACAAATTGAAGGAGTTCATTGAGATCATTGTCTGAATTGGAGGGAAGTTCATCGTAGGATTTGGTACGCAATAAGGTATCCACACTATCAAGAGGGACTTTTTGAGGTTCTGATTGCACGTAGGAGAATGAGTGGTGGAAACTGCTCGACTTTGAATTGAGTTGGGAGAGGAAGACATTCTTTAAATCAGTTGGTCCGTCTAAAACTCCAGACTCCTTTTTAAGACCTCGTATAAAGTGTGGTCTGTTTTGGGATGTGCAAGCCAAAACTGAGACGTCAGACTGCATTTCGCAATGTTATATAAGTATGATTCTATCAAGCTGAAAGTATACAAAAAGTATAAATCAAAACTAGATAAATATCGATCTAAAATTAGCTCAGGGATTCCATTCTGGAAAGGAGAATAAAAGCAATCTCTTATGTAATTGATGCATAAATTTTGAGGATTAATTTCTAAGTAAAAATGAATTAGTATTAACTGTCTGTTGATATATACAAACAGAGCTCCAATTGCCTTATTCCACTTTCAATTAATATCTTAAAATTTTGGGACCCATTTTCCTCATACCTGAGAGTAACTTTACGCGTTTTTGTAAATTTATACAAAACACACAATTAGCCTAAGGGGCAAACAATATTGAATATAGCGCTTCATGGCTGTAGATGAATGAAGTATATTAAAGTTCAAGGGCGAAACACCATTTAAATGGTCATAGATAAAAAACTGTCACGATGAATTAACTTTCAAATTACTTAAAATCAACTTTTAGACAAATTCCGATATTTACATATTGTATTAACTGGATTTTTAGAAAAAAATTATCTATATGTATAGTGAGAAAACTATCTGCTTAAATATTGTCCGCCCTGCAGACCATCTCTGCCTCTTCTCCGATTTTTTTTATTAATCATTATAAAGAAGTTAACATTATCTCTATTAGAAATCTTATGCTTATGCAGGACAAAGGTGTATAAGTGTTTAATTATGAAATACTTCATAAGAAAACGCTTCTTTTAATGGCCGTAACTATTTATTGTCACTTCTTGCTGTTTTCTTGCTGAAAATTACCATTATTAAAGAGCTATAAAACGTCGATAAATATAAACTATTCGATATATCTATTTGCTTCTAATTTTCAATAAGTAATTTAAACCATCTATTTAAGTAACAAAACCTATTTTTCAATATCTTTGATATTTATATTCTTCGTCCATTTTGTTCTTCAGAAACAGACTTTTATAGTAGCATTTCGTGTCGATTCTGGATTCAACCCTGATGATTCATGTTTGTTATATATCTTCTCTGTTGCCAATTTATTTTTGTTTAATTGAACAAAAATGAACCAAAATTCTGATTTCGATCGTTTACGTCAAAGTCCATTTAATGAATTTTATTAAACACTGTTATTAGTTTTGTTGAAGTGATCACCAATAACGCTTATATTCTGATTTTGCGACTTGACTTTTGGAATTTGCCAATGGTTTCTATAACATTTAAAGCGGGCTGCTACACTAATAATCCCTGAATATACTTTGAATTTTCTATGACAAATTCTCCTATGTTTGTAAAGACTCCCAGAAACTAGCTAAGGAAATTGGCGTATGGCCTGAACGCGCTTGTGTATACAATTTCACTTTTAGAAAATTCATTATCCTTTTTCCATGCCACTGTTTAGAAGTATGAGCTGTCTTAATATAGAAGCGATAACGAAGTCTCAGTAGTAATCTTTAAAATCTTAGGTATAACATTTTTCTTTGATCTCCGTCAATATAAGTCTTTGAAACTCTGTGTAGCTAAGTTAATTTGTATGTGGGAGAAAATTCATGAAATCAGATGGGAGACATTTGGAAAAAAGCGCCTTTTGGACAAATTAGCATAAACTAGTTGGCCAATAACCACGTGCCCACACATTATGCAAATTATTACCATAGTGCCAATCTCTCGTCTTCTTTAACTGCACACACATTCTCACATAAAAGTCATTTCATTAAACTCGTCTCATGTCCTCAGAAAGGACCTTTGCTCTCACTTATTTGGGCCGTTTCACTGCCCATAATTTCGGCTATATAACTTCGGATGCTATTCATCATCAACTAGTGGAATACTACATTGCTTACCTTAAACAGGCTCTCGAAAATCATGTCCCCCTTAACAAATTGGAAATTCAGAATCCTATGGAGTCCAGATTGGTTTCTCTTGAAGAGGACTGCTTGAGTGTACGAAGCTGGCGCTACAGACGCTATGACACTAAGGGAACCCTAATTAATGAAAGAGATGTCTATAAAGCTGAACGAATTGTTCTCTGTGACTGTCTATGTTTTGAAGTTGTTCAATCAGCTTCTCAGAAACACTCTGGAATCTGTTACGCTTATCTGCGTAGAGCCTCCGATGCTCGTTACACTATTCCTGAAGCGAATCTCCATGAATTAGATTCGAAGTTGAGCGCTTGGTTGTTAAAATATCGGCGTTTTCCTCGACCACCTCTCGTAGTGATCGCTATTCGGAGAGGATATGGTGATGATGGCTCAGTTGATCTTCTTGTCTTCTTTGCACCAAATCTTGCCCTAGGTCTTGATTTTGTTCGCAGTATAACAGAAATGACTTGCCGAGTAGGAAATATGCGAGCTCCGCCATCACGAAGACGCCGGGCGAAAACTGTCGATATAAGATATAATAACAGTCGGCCAAATTCGGCTCGAAAGTGTTATGCAGAAAGACCTAGGTCAAAAGAGCACACGAAAGAGAGCCGACGAAATGATAGTCGAGGAAGACCCCTTTCAGCTGAGCCTTTTCGTGAACCTATGCAGAAAATGAAACTGGAGGAACATCATTCCAATCTTTTCGGAACACCAAATCATTGTCCATGTAGCTGCTGCCAATCGATGGGCCTACTTCCATCCATATTCACTTCTAGAGAACTTGAGCGAGTTCAAAATCGAATCATGCAATACCGTCTGGGACAAGAGGCTCTTCATCATGCCTACAACAGAAAGATAGATCCACAAAATCAAAAGCGCTCAATCAGACAAGCTCCTGGTGGCATTCAATCCAAGCTTCGAAGTCGTTCAGCAATGAGCGAAACACCTTCCCATGGAATGTGCGAGCACAACGTTTGATATAATATCATAAAAATCTTGTTCCTGTACCTAATAAGCCACAATTCAAATGGCGATTTCGAATTCTGTCCTTGTAATTATTAATGCTTACCCCCTTAGACTGCGTTAACTTTAAAAGCACATAACTCTATTTTTGCCAGTTATATATATATATTAAAATTTTGCATTCCATGAAATTTAATTATTTGAAATTTTATTAGAATGAAGAAAGTTAAGAAAAAATAAAATAGGAAACAATGTATTACATAGAAAGCGAAAATTCTGTAGATGGAAAGGACCTTTAATAAACGTATTTAACAATGGAATTTATAAAAGCCGAATTTTATATTTAATTTGATTTAAAATCTTTATGTGGATTTTAAAATGCTAAAGCAAGTATGTTAAAAGGGATTTTATTAAAATTTATCTCTAATTACCTTCTTACACGAATCAATGGAGATTTCGGACTGAAGACTTACGGTAACTAATAGCTTAAAATTAGTAACACCAAACCCGAAGACATACAAATTTATGTGAAAGAAATTCTCAATTTTTCGGGCCTGCTATATTGGCAAATATAGAATGAACACCCATATATTTCGGCACAGACAAGTTTCAACATTTGTTACAAATCGTACTGACGAAAGTACTTTAACGTACTTAATGTCTAATCACACGTCGTTAGACAACATTTCGTTCTCATGTACTTTCATTTCGAAAAGAAAGGATTTATTTTTACGCCTCTCGAACCAAAAAGCCCTTTTATGAAATTTGTGTTCTTAATAGCATTTTTCGAATCTCCTGTTATTTGGCAAAGGGTTTATGCACCTACCATTGGAACAGGCTTTGCATATTCCTTTCATTTGTGAAACGAGTCAAATTTCTCAGGGCAGATTTACATTGAAGTGACTATAATTTAAATTATTTGGGGTGTGCGATAGATTTACCTCCACGTGGTGCACCCTGGGCAACGTATACTCATACGGCAAAAAAGTCTATTAATTGGCAGTTGACCTCTGACTTCAAACTACCATGACCCGACTGTTTGTCATACTTCACCACTTTCACAGTACTCACCTCACCTTTTTCCCTACCTTTGTGTCTGTCTGCCTCTTTTACATCTGTGAATCGCTCTTCTCTTCCCCACCCCTCGACTTTCTGCTACTTTTGATGAACCTTCCCTCTGTGAAGCCCGAAGTCAGCTAAAGGGTTAATGATAAGTGTCATAAAGCCCG